ATCTATACAGTTACTCCTTCAGGCGGTGACATCTATACAGTTACTCCTTCAGACTCCTTCAGTGGGTCTCCTACCATCCCAGGCATTTCCAATCACCATCTCAGCCAATGGAGGCCATACCTAGCTACATCCTGCACCTGAGAAGAATCACATACGCAAGGCCACTGTATCCTAATGCTACAGTCATTTCTAAAGAAAAACATGCTAGGAATTCACTCCCTGGGGATCTTTGCTAATTGCAATTATTACCTGTTTGGCTGAGACATGTCTCTGTCATCATGTGTGTCCAGGATGATGTAGGAGAAAGCAATTGGTTGCCCTGGTGGCAACTGATGATCCTTCACCCACTGGAGCTTGGGTGACACAGCCTGAGGGCAGCTCTTAAGAAGCAGAGCCTTGGCCTTGTTGTTTGGCCTTGGTCTTAGCTCCTTCTGAACCAGCAACCATTGTCGTCACCTGGAGAGATCTGCCTGGTAGAGGAGTGGGTTCACAGAACAGAGATTGTGAGGGACATCAAGAGCCACTATAGTTCCATCCATTTTCTCCCTAATTCCCCACCTTCCTCCACTGCCCCTGGAAACAGTGTTGGCAGGCTCTGTTCTTATTGTTCAGGCCCCGTGCATGTCCTCCTTGGAGACCAAGAGGAAATTATTCTCTCGTGCCCTGTGTTTCTCATCCAGTCCCTGGCTCTTTGGTTTATGATTGTCTCTGAGGAATGGTCCCCGAGCAGCAGGACAATTTTATCAAAATCTAGTACCAGCTATGGCCCAGGAAGGGTTGGGGGAGATCTGGTCCCAGGAACAATGGTCTCCACCACACGCTTCATATCTGCAGCATCCTTCAGTAGTCTCCAGACAGGGAACTGGATTCAGCAGAAGAGCATCCAGGAGGGTTATTCCTCTTGGATTATGGAAATGATCTCCAGAGGAGGGAAGGAAAGATTCTATTCTTGGGTCTTAGTGCTCATGGCTCAGGATCATGGATTCATAAGTGAAAAGAACTTTAGACATTAGTTGACCCAACATTCTCCTTTAAAAGATGAGGGAGCAGAGAGCCCTGAATTAAATGGCCGGTCCCAAGTCACACAGCAAGTAGAGAGCCCAGCAAAAGGATGTTGTTTCCCGGGCCCTTAAGTTATCACATCACATGACCTCTGCCTCTCCAGTTCCCATGTTACTAACCAGCTAATATGTGGTTTCTACTCTTCTTAGCCTTTATCTGGCATCTTTCTCTTAAATTATGTCTGACCCAGGTGCTGCCTATATGTGGCTTTGTATATGGCAGTTCCGAGGGAAAATGTGATGGTGAGGAAGGCTGTAGCTAGATTTCCCCATAGAAATCAAGAAATCTCAACAGCTTGGAGGAAATCCTAGAAAGTAACTCTCTGAATCCAAGAAAGAATTGCTTTGTGGAAGGCTAAGAAAGACCCAGAATGCTCAAGATGACACTAGTGTTGGAGGGAGAAAGACAGAAAAGCCTTTGTCTAGGCAAAGAAACAGGAAAACGGGGAACTGGGTGTGGGGTGGGGTGGTGGGGGGATGGCATCCTCAAGGATATGGAGTTTACAGATAGATTTTATTATGAGGACCTACAGGAGCAGACCCGAGAAAGACAAGGTAACTTTAGTCTCTCTAATCTTTGTTACTCGGCTGGACTCTGATTAACCAGTTAACTGGCATGTGTCCAAAACGGAAACCATCCCCACACACCACGATATTTTGAATTTAATTTTAAAAAATCCACCGCTAGCATCTATAGACCCTTATGGCGTACAAACGGTTAAGCCCCATTTAGTCCACATCCGCCGCTAGTGTCTCTTATCTCGTACAAACGGTTAAGCCCCATTTAGTCCACATCCCATGAGAGAGAACGGGGGGCTACTCCATGCACTCAGTGTGGGGGTGAGAAGACTCAGGAAGGGAGAGGAGATGAGCTGAGGAGAAAAAATAGAAGATTTCTAGGAAGAAAACGGGGCAGGTCTTATCTTGGTACATCACAGGGATCTTGTTACAATGGCATTACAACAAGGAAAAGTGAATCTCCTTTTGGGTAGAATTGCCCATTCTGCCCTGTTCTTCCTTTGCTGCGGGGGGGGGGGGGGGGGCTACTCCGTGCACTCAGTGTGGAGGTGAGAAGACTCAGGAAGAAAGAGGAGATGAGCTGAGGAGAAAAAAATAGAAGATGTCTAGGAAGAAAAGGGGGCAGGTCTTGGTACATCACAGGGATCTTGTTACAATAGCATTACAACAAGGAAAGGTGAATCTCCTTTTGGGTAGAATTGCCCATTGCCCATTCTGCCCTGTTCTTCCTTTGCTAAGGGGGAGGTCAGAGCCTCTCTCTCAGTCCAGGCAGGACAGTGTGGCTGTGACCCAGCTAATGTCAACACCAGAACGATGATTCAGTTTGAACTAGTGCCCCAGGTGCCGATCGGCTACCGATCGGCTAACCTCCAGGCTCTGACGTCCCCTCTGGGGTCCTGCTGCTCCCTACCAAGTCCAGCTTAAGGCTGGCGTGGCTCTGAGACTGTGAGAAAGGCCTGGGCTGGGGTGATCATATCAAGAGGGGCCTGGAGCCGCATTTTCTGTCCGCCAATAAAAAATGTTCCTCCATTTTTTTAAAGGTGGCTGGTATGAGTAAGAACAGGCAGGAGGGAAACCTTCTGTGTCAAGGACTGTCTCTTCAAGGAATGGCCCTCAGGCTGGGGGGTGGCGGGGGGGGGGGGCGCTCTGTGCTGCTAGCTGGCACCTCATTTGCCACCCCCTCCCCCGGGCAGCCTCTTGCTTTCATTTTCCCTGAATGTACGTAGGAACAGGGGAGGGAAGTCTCTTACTGAAGTGCCTGAAACCCAGAGCTGGAGCTTCTAGAGACGCCGTTCTTCCGGTCTCAGCTTGGCCTACCTTTCCCCGAGGTTCTCTGGTCTCATGCTCCAGCTTCTCACAAAGAATAAAAGAACTTGCTGTTCTAATGAAGGAGAAAGCGAGACCCAGTAATCAATCTACAGCAAAAGGCAGAGAATTACAGGGAAAAACAACTTGTATCTTAACAGCCCAAATCTATTCTCCCAAACTACACACACACACACACACACACATACACGTTAGGGGACTAAGAGAAGCATGTTATATTTTATTTGTCAAAAATCCATCAGTGGAGTATGAAAAGCTCAGGCTCTCTCCCACGGCTACTGCGGGAAGGCCAACAGAGGAGGTGGAAAGGGCAGAGCTCATCCAGTTAGGACACCTTAGGAATAGCCTTGTGGTAAAGAAGATGAAGATGCTTGGTTGACTTCATCCAATCTGCACCTTCCTATGGCTGCTCAGTAAACTCAACGCGTGGTTTCTCAGCTGTGTGCGTTGGGAGTGTCCTATTAATCTGTGCCCGTTCGTTAGGACTGAGTTCCACACGTTCCCTCCTCAGTCCCAGGGCCCAGAACGCAGCTGTATCCAGGAGGTCTCAAGGATTGACATGGGGAGGGGGAAGTTTTTTGTTTTGTTTTTTTTTTAGTCACTTTTTGGTCAGTGATTTGGCCATTTTAAGAGCAAGATTTGCTTTATGGAAACCAATTCATTCACAAAACCTACACTCGAGTTGCAACACCATTTCACAGTGAAATATTTTGAGTGAAATTTTGTTGCTTAGAATAGTCACAGACAAAAGTTTTATCAGCAATATGTTTCCATTATGTTAATAAACAAGACAATGCTACTGGAGTCCCTTGTCTTGGTCTAGAATCTTCTCTGTGGGTTGCAGTATATATCACTTTTTCTTCATAGTCCTACTTGACAGGTGACAATAGCTGTAAAAATGTTCTTGGAGATTTTCTGCCTGGTTTAGCTGATGCCACATGTGTAATATGAAAGTATTTACAAACACACCCAAGGGGCAGAAGCAGGGAAGAGTTAATTAGCAATTTTGTGAACTGTGCCTAAGTTTTCTCAGCTAAAAAAAATAAAATAAATTTTAGATTCTATCTAAATCTGCATAGTCTGGTATTGGTTAGCTTTAACTCCTTAATGAAGTTAGTTCTTTATGAAATAAAAATTTCTAAAAATTACAAACTTGAATAACTTTTTGGCATAGGAGATCTTAAGAGAGAAGTTGCTAAACTCGCACATTGTCTTGGCAATGTAAAAAAGCAATAAATGAATAAGTTTTTAATTGCCCAATCCTGCTGTAACTCTTAGCTCAATGTCATTTTTAGTTGTGACATACACTTGGTACTGGTTTAGGTCTAAATGGTGATTGTTATGAGCTGGTCCCAGCTGTGATTCAGAAAGTGAAATAGTAATTTCCTGTTAGGTCAGCTCAGTTAAGGCTTAGCTATGTGTTTGTCAGATTAATTGTGGTTATTTTTTAAAAATCATTTTAGTTCTTAGCATTTTTTTTTGTTTTAAATTGAGATTAATGAGCTTCGTGTGTATCTGTGTGAGTTTGGTGGCGTAGAATAATGATGCTCAAAATGCCTTGTAAATTGGTGACTTGTATTTATGTTTGCTATTTTGGCACAAAGCTAAATACTTTTTTTCTCTGTCCTAAAAGTATATAATGACGAGGGCTTGTTTAAATGAAGGTATAAACACTGATTTAATCTGCTAACGTTCACGAACTTGTCAAATTGATATTTTAAATATGAATGAACATATATGAACACATTAACATTTCTTCCCATATGACCCATAAATAAGCTTCAGATCTTGGAATTTCCTAGGAAGTTTCATGTAGTCCATAGTGGAACAAAAGCAGAGAACAAACAACAACAGTCTCTGCTTTCCAGGTGGGAAAACAGAACCACAGCAAGAATCCATAACATTGCCATGACGATGCAAAACATTGAAAGATGACACGATAAACATATTCCCGGTCCTTGAGACTTGTTCCAAACATTGGACATGACAGAGTCTCTTCCTCCCCTTTCCTCCAGCCTCCCAAGAGTACGGAAAGGAAACCACATCCTGGGATAAGACCAGAAATACATCTGCTAAGAAGTTCTAGTCCATGGGCAGTTTCATTTCTACTCCCATCTCCACACAGAAATCCCTGTGAGTCAAAGTAGATGATGATGCTGTACTAGTGATTGCCTGTCGTCGGCACAATTCATCAGAAAACTCTCAGAGGAGAAAGTATAAGAAAGTTTTCACTACAAATTACAAGTACTGATGAGAAATCAGAAGAAAAAAGCTCCCTCAATATGGCAGGGTCGGGTCAAGTCTGGCAACAGAGGCTACGTCCCAGGTAGGCTATCTCTGAGTCACATGGCCTTCCTCTCTTCTTAGGGATTACTTGCCAGGAAGACATTCTTATGACACAACAATCTATCCCACTGAGGAGTCCTTTTATGATTGCATGCTCCTTGGTTAGTAAGTAATTGGGTCCCTCACGAAGTTCCCTAGTGTATGTACTGCCCTTAGCCCTTTACTCAGCAGAGACAGATAGCCAATCACTAACGATGCATTCTCCCCTTTTTAGATTGTCCTATATTCCCCAGTTCCCTGGAAAGGTAGATGTGAATGTGAGAGAAAGTGACAGCCCCTCCTAGGCTTGGCCCACAAAAACCTACCATGTGTCTCCCTCTTCCATATCTTTTTCTCCTTCCACCCACTGGAGTGGAGATGATTTCCAGGGTAACCCTAAAAGTCACGTTATAAATGGCAGGGCCTCGCCGAAACCGGTTTGGCTCAGCAGATAGAGCGTCGGCCTGCGGACTGAAAGGTCCCGGGTTTGATTCCAGTCAAGGGCATGTACCTGGGTTGCGGGCACATCCCCGGTGGGAGATGTGCAGGAGGCAGCTGATTGATGTTTCTCTCTCATCGATGTTTCTAACTCTCTATCTCTCTCCCTTCCTCTCTGTGAAAAATCAATAAAATAAAAACCAAACAAACAAACAAAAAATAAATGGCAGGGTCTCTGGAATGACTACAGGGAGGGCCAGCCTACCAACTTTCTCCCCATTCAGCATGTTATGGGAACAAGAAAAACATCTATGGTGTTTGAGTTACGTACATGTTTAGGTCTATGTGATACAGTAGTTAATCTAATAGAATACACCTTCTTTTCTGGGCACTAGTTAATTAAAGCAAGAGATTTGTAGACTATGTGGTTGAGTGTGTCAAGACAGGATTATCAGTTCACTTCCACAGAAGGAAAAGCAAAGTGACCAGACCTGTCTGTACCTGGCAGGGGCAGGGAGGGGCAGGGTGGACAGGAGCAGCGTCCTTTTCTCAGCTACTTGGGTAGATGGCCAATTCAAGATCTTTATTATATTTTAATGTATTGGAAAGCAATGTACCACAAACTACTGATTTTATCTTTATAGCCAATAAAAAGACAAAAATATTCATTATAATCCCCACCTTGCTCAGGGTGTTCCAAAAATAAATCCTTCTTCATGCTTAGGAGATAGTACCAGTGAAATCTCCCCAAATACTCTCGTGGGTGGACAGGGCCAGACAGATGCTCAGAAAAAGGACTTAAGAAGGCTGACTCTAGGACTCCTTGCTCTTTCTGTGGTTTTGTTTCAGTTTCCATGGTTTTGGAACCCCCACCCCAGGCTTAGAGTTTAACAAATTAGAAATCAACCGCAGGCATCTAAGAATTATTCTTTATTAAAAACATGTTCCCGAAAAGCCAAGGAAATACAGAGGTGAGGCAGTGCCCACGTCTTCTGAGCTGAGGTGGAAGGGCCTCTGGCTTTTCCAGCAATTCCCACTGGTGTCATGACTCAACGGTCTGTTGCAATAGGTTGTGGAAAGGGGCAGAGGGACAGCTGGAATACAAAGACGTGTGCACAACCCAGATCCATCTCAGCTTTGCCAAAACCCAAGGGCCCCCAAGGGAGTGTCTTGCAACATATGTCCTGTTGAGAAAAGAGGCTGCAAACCAGGGGGTGATTGCAATAAACACCACTTGTGACGAACAGATTTGTAAGTTTAAATTTATTTTTTTGAATGTCTAACTTCCTCACTAGACAATCAACTCTATGAGGGCAGAGACTGTGACCACTGTACCCCAGCCCCTGGCATACAGGAGGTACTCAATAAATATATGTCGTAAGGATGGATGGATGGAAGGGTGACTTTTATATAGGTCCAGTGTGAGTAGGAACATTCTCTGAGAGAGAGAGAGAGAGAGAGAGAGAGAGAGAGAGAGAGAACACATGGGCGCAAATAATTTTTAATGTTTGAAGTGGGACTGAATTGGGACTAATACATCTTCTAGATAATATTGTACTTCTTTCAATGCCCAAAATACATTTTTCTATTACTTTGAAACCCAAACGCGAATTCCCAGTGTTTGCTTTGCTAGTAGGAAATGTTGATAGGGTGATGCTGTGGCATCATCAGGAGAACAGATGCCATTATGCGTGAGCCAAGTTAACATATTTTCCTTTGGTCACATTACTCAAAGAATGAATGAGCTATCACCCAGCAGCACTTGTCCATACTCCAGGACTCAGTTTACGCCCATTCTGAGGCAATCATCTGCCCGTACATTTTGTCCTTCCACCCAGTCTACCCTTGGGATCCAGGTCCTTGATCAGTCTCCTACTCAATGCTATTTGCCTCATTATCCAGCATCAGAAAGCAAACAGCATCACGTTGGTGCAATAAGACATTTGTCTGGCCAACGTCTCAGGGATGGAATCAGGTTCCGTTGACCTGAGCATGCCTTTCAACATGTTCAGACGTCCACATCCCACCCCATCCACTGGAGATAGCTCCTGAGCCCTGAGGTCTGTGTCCCGAGAACCTCATTTGTTAAATCACTACGGCAGCTTCACTGTTGCTCAAGAGCCTGGGTGTTATAACAGCCTGGGGGCAGGTTGTCCCGAATGTTCTCCAAGTTTTTTACATCAGCCAGAATCCCATCTATGCTCATCTCCAGCGCACGGAGTTGGCCTTGCTGGCGACGTGCCCTTTCTTCCAGCTCCAACATCAAGGGCTGCAACTGGTTTTTGATCTGAGTATTGGCTTTGAAAAGCCTCTGCTCCAATAAAACCAGCCCCTCTTCATCCACACTGCCAGGCTGGTCTATTGGAGGGAATGAAAAAGGAGTTTAACAGAAAAAAAGCTATGGGTTAGATCCCCTTAAACCTACATGGCCCTTCTGTACCTTTAACTCATTCTTCTTTCCCTTGTCCAGAGCTAATAATGTGCCATGCATTTATTTTTAAAAGGCTTATTTTAAATTACAAACAATCCAGAAAAAGTGGTGAGAGCACTAGCATAGTTACTGTGTTGTAAACAGTCTAATTCCGAGCTCTCCGGTTAAGCAATATGAAGCCTGGAATTCTCCTTCGATGTTAGGGTCAACAGTTCATGCTCTGAAAAGATAGGGGCTGAAGGTCATATGGGACTGAGCTCCTCCTAGGATCAGAGCCAACCCCTAATTATGCTTTCTGAGCCACCCGTAGGCATTATCTTGCTGTTTCCCACCGAAGGACCTGTAGAAACTGGCTGGGCTTCGGGCTTCGTAGAGGCCAAGGTATGCTCTGCTATTCGGAGGATAGAATCTAGCTGTTAGGAAATGATGCACGATTTCCTTCTGGCCTGAAACAGTGGGAATCTAACTAGATACTGGTTTACTTCCAATATGAAACACAGTCCCATTTGTTCAGGTATGTTTACCCCGAAGCAATCTAAAAGCGACATCAGCATGAAGGGCACCAGGCCAAACTCATTTGGCTTGAACAGGTTTGAGCTACCCTTGGTCATTTCAAAGTCAAGGTCAGGTGGCCTCACATATGTAAGCTGAGTGACAGTATTCGGTTGCATGAGTTTATTATACCTAGAACAATTAAAATGCGATTGTTCCAGGACTGAAGAGAGCAAATAGAGTAGAAACAACACCATCTCAAAAGTGGACCAATCCTTCACCGGGGGCAGGAGAGAATTCACGAATTTAGGGTCGGTCCCTGTGACACGCAGAGAATGTTACGTAAGCTTGGGGACAAAATAACTGTGTCCATGGGGAGGCAGCATGAGTTACTCCAAAACAGCAGGAGTGCTGGAGGCCAAGAGACCTTTTTCAGAACACTAAACAAAGCTGCTAAAATCTCAACTGGATCGCATTTTTTACCCTTACAGGGTATTTTACTCTTGGGGGTCCTAATGGGGTCATGAAGCAGACCCATAAGGATAACCACACAGGTAATATTGGTCTCTCAGGG